GGGGATCTACCAGTATATTTCACCGTTCTTTGACGACGTGGTTGGTTGGGTTCTCCACTTGTCCTCCCCAATCCGAAGAGTGTTCAATTTTCAAGTATCCAACATAACGAAGTATTTATTCATTGTTGCGAGGTTATTAAGAAAGTCAAATAGAAAATATTCAAATCAAAATACAAATAGCTGTTTTTGGCTGATTTTTTACCTCACTTTAGTGTTTTTCTTCCTTGGCAAACTATTTATTTAAAATTGAACTGTACTTTGAGAAAATTCACTATGTCTAAAATTACTCAAAATACAATGACGTAGCTCCTTGAAATCCTCAGCACACTCACCGAAGCTCCTGGTGGTCCTGTTAGAAACAGAAAAAAGAAAAAACTCTGAATGCCTTAGATAAAGAAATACATGTTTCCTCTCCACCCACCACCGATTAGACCCCGGATGAAGGGAGAAAACTAATGCACTACATTCACGGAGACTATTCACAACAGCACCAGAAGGCCCACGTAGCTGAGGTGCATTCTGATTTTTATAGCGTGAAGTAACGTGAAATATTGCTTCTCTTCCTGAATAAATGCAGATCCACCACAGGTCACTCCTAAATATTTCGTTACGTTTCCCTAGCAGTTTGCTAGTGTTTATTTACACTTTTGGGTTGAAAAAGAAAACTTTGAATGTAAAATGTCACAACCGTGAACACAATCAGGGACGCCTTGCAGGGCTGGAACAAGGTCTTCTAATGTCCTACCTCGTCATTACGTAGCCCCATTGAGCCAGTGTGTTAGTTTCAAAGAGGCAATCCACAAAACGGCACAAATCCTGTAACCTACAATTGAAGAAACAGTTCACTACAGTACCAACCTGGGTCCCCTTTAGGCCCTCGAATGCCTACTTCTCCCCTGTCTCCTTTAACTCCAGGGGTACCAGGAAGACCCGCTGGACCTTGGGTACCATTCATTCCATTCAATCCTTTGGGACCTCTGGGCCCTGGGTCACCTGTGGTATGAAATAATATATGAAACATGTTCTTGACAATGTAATGTTTCAAACTTGTGTTTCAGGCTCAAGAGGGACAGATGGTGACAGTTAGATGGTGTCCTAACTGCATCACCAGTGGATGGAATGTGAATTAAAGTGGAAAAGCATAAATAAATGAAAGAAGTGCAATCGCAGTAAGTAAACCTCTGATTGTTCCTAAAAAGCAACCATTTAGACTAGGTCGCATTGAGTAAATTTAGTAAAAAAAAATACATATTTGATTAACTTATTCAGATAATTGATTTGGTACTTTTGGCTCAATCACTCAAATACGTACAATAGTATGTCCCAAAATATGTTTAGAAACTTCATTAAGGGAAATGCCATTTTGCCAATTGCATTTTGCATACTGTTACCTAAACATATAGCAAAGTTTTGACGTATTCCATCGGTGATGTATTTTTCTCTTTACCCTCTGACCATCTCCTGACTCCTGTGATGCACTAAGTGTATGAAGTTAGTCTTGCATCAGCCAGTCTGTTTATTTCCATCAAACTGTATCGTTATCATAATTTTCTTGAACTTTTACGACAGACTCACCTTGCTGCCCCTTAGTAGGCTCCCCATTTGTTCCTGGTTCTCCCTTAGGACCCACGGGACCAGCTGGTCCTTGGTCTCCCTTGTGCCCTACGAAAAAGGTGCCGTTTGGTGATTACCCAATCGGTTAACCGCACCGCACTTCTGTTACTCGGTAATGCATTGCACGTGAATCATTTCATAGGGGAAGAGGGGAGGATGCTGGGATGACAACTGAGGCAACTTTTACTTGATCGTCATCACTTTTCACTAAACTAACCTTTTTTACCTTTCTTTCCTCGCCGACCTATGATAAACGAGAAAAAAAGTTAACTGTCGATTTATTCAGTTGAAGAAACTATCATACTTGACAAAAATAATTGCATTATTGTACTATCGTTTAACAATGATCTTGAGAAGGGAAATTCTCAACACGTTTCTCAGACTATGTTGAAAAAAATCACTGTCGGCAAATGATAAAATTAATAGCGTACATTTAAAACACTATACGGAAATGTTCTTTGTTTGGGTATTCAATAACGAGACCAAACGGATCGGTTTTCTCAGGTAATGATGACAAAATACAGACAAGGGCAAAAATCTATTTCTATCATGGAACAGTTAAAACATGATCATGAACTATATGATCAATGTGTGTGTTGTTTTTTTCATTTACATTATTAAAAAGTAATAACATTATTTCGCTTGCAATTTGGTGTACTAAGCACTGATGAATTTTTCAAAGACTACACATTGCCCTTGCCCTGCGGGTTCATGTTATTACCTACACATTAACGGGAAGAGCTAGAAACAAATACGGTGTAACAAATTAAGCCGCAACGTTTCAAGCGTTTTTTTTTTTTAATGACGGGAGAGAAAAAGGGATGTGATGCAGCTCTTACCTGGAGGTCCAGCATCTCCTTTAGGGCCTGAAAAAGGGAAAATAATATTGCAAAAAAACTACAGGACAAGCATGTGCCAATTGTAGAATGTTTAGGTGCTCCTACTTTTTCTAAGTTTATCTTTTTGTGTGCATTATAAAATCACAATATAGAAAATGGTACACTCTGAATTTGGTCGAAACTCCACTTCATTTAAAACCATGAGCTATTTTCTTTACATGTGATTTGTCCCGGCAATATGTCGTTTATTCCTAATCTTTATTCAGAAAAACTAACTCTGCTCGGTAATTATCGCTTGTTTTCAAAAACTGCTTCAAACTTAAAGGGCAAAAATATTGAAGTCACTGTGGAATGATATTCTCATCTTCCGACGCTCCCATTTTGCCAGAGTCCCTTGTCTCATACAATATTTCATTAGGAATCGGCAGGGTCATCCATCAGTCACGAAAACAATTGGCATTTGTCTGGCACATGTCTATCACGATGGAATAGGGGTTGAAAACTTATTTCTGACTTTTTAGGATAGTCCATTGAATTGGAAGAGGTGATGAATTGAAAACAATGTGATGTGTCCTGTTGAGCCGAACCTGAACAATTCTCAAGGTCAAATTATCAATGTATGCAAATTGTATAAAATGTAAATTAAATTGTAAGGTCTTTTGTTATCTTTGACGCACTATTATCGCCGGTGAGTCAATATTTTCTCCGGGTTTTACACCGAGAAATGTAAAATGATGCTTTAAAGGTCAATTGAACATAATGTTTCCTAGTTTGTTGAGCTGTCATTGATGACATTTTTAAAAACTCGTTTGTAATTCATTCGCTCGCGTTATCACCTTCTCAGACATACTTGACGAGACATGTTATTTTGGTGGAAGTTTGCCAAAACTTCAAGAGGCAATTGTCACGCCAACGTCTTGATTGAGATGAAGCCCTGCCGGCTGTGAGGTTCTTAAATTTGAGCAAATCATTTAAATTGCTTCAGCAACAAAACATTTCCACCAAACAAAATTTCCCAGGGAAAACTTTGATGCTGAAATCTATCAACGACATAGTTTCACGCCTGATTTAGGATCAAAAGGTCACAAAATTGAAGTTTACCACAAGTAGGTTACCGATATAGAATGCTTATAAACAGTTGTTTTTCTCGTCACCAAGAGTCCAATTTCAACATGCTTAAATACTAAGAAAGTGTATTTTTTTTGTGGGGGCTCGTAAAAGCTAATTAGTTCATGACCAAGCGACTTTCAGGCACTGAACGCGGAAGTAAACAAAGTCTAGAGATCAAACTGTGGTCGATTTCTTTATCCTTCATTGTTCTGCGGAAATTTTGGAATTCTTTCATAAACAGGCACGACGAAACTGTTCTTTGCGTGAATCTCCTTGTATTTTTCAGACCAATCGTTGTTCTAAATGCGCCTCTTTGTGTAATCATAGCTAAATATGTAAAATATGTATTTCTAGCACTCAAAGATTACCTTGCAAACACGGGCAGTAGCCCTCAAACTGCCTTTTGTCTCTACCACGAGGAAAATCAGGAACGGCAAGCTGTAACAACGAAAAGTCATTCTGTTTCATTTGGCTTCACGAATGTATCAATTCTCAGAACAGCGATGAGCAACATCACAATTCACGCCAACATTTAAGTAAACAATACGCTTTAGACTTTACTAATTGCGCACCGTCAAGCCGGCTCTCTAACCTTCGTTTTTAAACGCGCAGATTTCCCCTCCATAACACGATCGGCCTCACCCACAGAATTTCTGTCCGTTTTCTGAGCTGTGAAGCCGCTGTTTTCCAACTTTTCAACACGAGCTTCAAGTCGCCGCACGATGTCGGATTGCAGGACTGCCAACTGGTGTTGATGAACCACAAAAAAAGTCACAATTATGATGTATAACACTGCTAAAACAATCGCAATGTTGAGGAAAACGCGACGCGCATTTGATTTTTTCTGTTGGTCCATGATGGAACGTGCATTTGCCAAGCAAATTCAAGTGCTCGGCTCGGGATTTTGTTTCAGCGATGCACAATCCGTGAAGAGCTGAACTCTGTCTTTCTACGCTTGGTTGAGCTTAATCTAAATTTCTGGGAAAATCAAAGCAATATTGCGCATGTGTTGAAAGTGATTGACAGCACTAAAAATACTGAAACTTTTGGGGTAACTTTCAAAGTCCGCACGTTGCTCTGTCAACCAACTTCGCAAAACTATTACAATAGCCTAATAATACTGAAACTTAATCCTTGCTTTAGGAGAGAGTAGCAAAAAACGTGTCTATTTGAACCTAGATCCTTTGTATTCGAGTCCAATTCTAGGAATTATGAGATTATGTAAACTAGTAAAATAATCAACGCAGCTACAACTTCCCGCTGAAAATGCTTCTGTCAGTTTCAAATGCAAGTGCAAAGCCTTTGTTTGCCTGTTGATATGGCGTTGAATTTCAAGCTTGATTGCCAGTTGATTCATCAATTTTATTCTTATTGCATTTGACAAAATGCCAGTATTATATTTGCAATAGGATTAGGACAGGACTGTGGCCAAAGTCTACAAAAGCTTTCACCACCCAACTTAGGACTGCAGAAACCTCTGTTATTCACGCTCATGTGGTAGTAACGGTCAAGAGACATAACAATTGTGAACCAAAGCCAAATATCTTAGTTCTCGCTAGGTTTCCAACTGAACATTCCTATCAACTTGTGAACGAAACGGCAACAATCGGCTAATAACGCAACTGATATGTTTATTATTGGAAACATACAGCTTCAGTATCTAAAGTGCGTTTCAGCCACTTCCGAAACAATTATTGTTGATGTACGACGCGACAAAACAAATTAGAAACCCAAAAAAGGCCTCTAAAATAGCTCACATTTATCTAAGGTACTTGATCCGAAAGCAATCAATTACAATAAAAACAAATTTCAACTGACTCCAATCAATCATGTCGCGTCGTAGTATAACTCTTGCGTAGGTAAATTCTCCTCTTCGTGAATCCCCCACCCCCACCCCCGAGAAAAAAATATAAAAATCACATTTGATAGTCAATAAAGAGAAAAAGGTAGAGACTTTATTCACTATTTACCGTAATGTATTTACAGTGAGTATATCGGTGGGCAGGACGTCAAACATGAGCACTCAAACCTTGTGAGGAATTCAAGATTGCAAATGAGGTTGTAATTGTAATGTGTAAAGCGACTTTCACTATGTAAGTGGAATATTCTGATAGCCTCAAACTCTACTCAGTATATACTTCGTGGTTGTGCAATTTATTGCCTGCGACTTGGATAAAATTGTAAGAAAACTGTGGTGTATGTTTTCTACTAAATATTCAACAATGATACAAAACAACTCAAAAACTCGACTGGTAAAAGGAGTGCCCAATTGTTTTGACACTCACTCGCCGACGCTCGACGAAAGTTAAGCACATTTGTGTAATAGGTATTGTCCTTTGTACTAGACAATTGTGATCCACCT